TAACTCGGAAACAAGCAAAATCCGCGACGAGTCTCAAGTAAGATTAGTTGTGAGTCTTCGAACTTTAAAATGCGAACATTGTCATGTTCTTCATCCCACACATAAGCTGCAATCGATGAACTCCTTTACAAACTTTTATGTTCTTGTGTCTGTGTTTGCTGGCCATTAGTAAGCCTTGGATGTTTATTGTCTGATATGAAATGGTCTTGGTGTTTCACCAACCTAGCTAACCGGACAGTAGGCGCAAGATTCTTTATATACGACAATGTTTTCGTCCGACTACATTATCGGGTCTCTTCGTCGGTTTAATTTATTGTTAGCGAGATTCAATGGTTTTAATCTCCCCCGTTTACCGGTGATTCCGAGATTTTTTTACATTGCCCAAGATATACCTGTTCTACGTGGCAATACTACAGTCGTTTTTTACTGATCCTAATTATCCCTTTCAATTGTTGCTCCTTGATCAGTACTGTTCTTGATATTAGTTTCCATGAGTTGTTCGGGACAATGGCTTATTAATAAATAACAAATGAAATGTTTATTTACGTTTATAATTCCCATTGTGAAATCAAAAAAGATATTCAGCGAAGAGGACTCTTTTCAACAAATGTATTCTCGAGCTGTATATATATATATATATATATATATATATATATATATATATATATATATATACATATATTTAAAGGCTGTAATCCGCGAGAAAGATTTAACTTGAATAATGGGGGGTTGAATCAATAATAATGGTGGTGATGATTATAATGTTGCTCGTTGGTGACGTAAGGATCAAATGATTACAAAAAGGGGTTACGTAAGATTCTCAAAACGTTTATAATGCGTATATAGATTAATAAAGGGTGAGAACGTTAATAAACAATCAGAAGATTAGTTAATATAGGTGAGACAAGTTAATTAGAGTAAATTGGAAATGTTTTAATTTAGAAGTAGTATTCATCATGGACTGACATCAGCTGGGGAACCATTAGAAACCTGGAGGCACTGGACAGCTGCTCCGTCCTAGTATGGAACTCCTCAGAAGTAGGCACCCACTACCCGGCCGGGGGTCGAACTCACAACCCTCAGGTTTCACGGCGAACGCGTTAATCATTCAGCTACTGGGTCAGTCGGTCTCCGTGGTTCACAGTTTCCAACTTCTGTCAATTCACGACATAGTGCAACTGTCATCCAAGGTCTTCAGTTAGCATCCACTTCACTTCCGACTGGTTGACCCCACAGGTCACGGCTTCTCATTAGAACTTCCTGACATCCATCTGGAAGCAAGTCACTAATGAGCACTATAGGGTAATGTATTTTTGAGATGAATGGGGATTTTTAATTTAGAAGTAGTATTCATCATGGACGGATATCAGTTGGGGAACCATTGAAAATGTTTTGTTAAAATTTGCGATTATTAGGAAGATCAAATAAAATAACACCGGAAACAATTAAATTTAAAAAATAAAGTGATAATGACGATATAAGATTACGAAGATTAATCTGACAAAAAAGGGGAAGGGAGTGAAAAACGAAAAAAGAGGATGAAGCGCACCAAGACAAAAATAAAGGCCAAGGTTGAGATAAAGACTGTACATACTTCTTTTGTACACAAAGGTCAGGCTTCAGTTCATGGATAGCCAAGGCCTCTGCTGTTTTTAGAAGCTGAACACGGAGGAAACATGAGGTGTTTGAGAGAATTTAATAGACATTGTTGGGTCGGTGAATGGTTTGAATCGATCAAATGTTCAAGGATGGAACTTCTGATGCATTTCCTTTCACCCTTATAAAACCAGGAGGGAATATGTTCTCGTATACTTTTTGACGCCAATCTGTGACTACGGCCGATGTACCTCGCTCCACAGGAGTAGATTAACTGGTAGATACACGTGGATATGGACTGTTGACTGACATTGTTTTCTATACAAATCGAGAACAATTTACGACTGGTAAAGATCAAGTGAAGTTTGGCTCGGAAAAAAGTCTTACTAATTAATCTGGAAATACGATTTTTCAGAATGCCTGATGCTGCATCACCTTTCAATTCCAGATTCGTAAACAAGGTCTTTTTAGAAACTGAGCTGATGACTGGTTTTTGCATGTCTTTCTCATATATTCTTATCGATAAATCGGCTAGCATAGCCATTTTCCGTGAGGGTCCCTCTTAGAAAGTTAAGTTTAACTTGGACACAGTCTGTGCTGCAAATATTATGTATTCGATGGTAGAGTGAGTAAATGAGGTTCCTCTTCCTCATGATCGGCACCCAGCTATAGAAATCAGTAAGCTGACCATTCCATGTCCGTTTCCTGTAGATGGATCTTTTCAGCGTTCCATTGTTACGTCTTGTAATCAGCATGTCAAGGGAAAGCTGATTTCACTTCCTTCTCAATAGTGAATTCCAACACTGAGTGACTATTGTTAAACTCACGTAGGATGTCATCCAGATCGATAGTCGGGTCGCAAATAACGAATATATCATCTATATATCGTTTATAGATGTCAAAATGATTAGTAGTTTGGCTAAGAATAGGATTTTCTAGTCTTGACATAAAGCAATCTACAATTAGAGGTCCCAGTGGGGATCCCACTGCAATCCCATCGTTTTGCTGGTATATCTCACAATCGAAACTAAACTGCACACTAAAAATACATCTCATCAATAGCTCTCTCAAGCAGTTTATTGGAATGCCTACTTCTATATTGTGTGAATCGATGAACTCACATATGTAACATAGTTTCAGTGAGTGGTATGCTGGTGAACAGCGAGGTAACATCCAAGGAAAACATAACTTTACCGGTGGTGTCAACATCCTTATTGCTATCAATAAACTCAAATGTATCACGAACAGAACAACGAGACACTTGTCTTCTGACTGGTTCCAGTATTTCAGCTAACTACTGGATAATACGATGATAAGAAGAACCTGACATATCCAAAACCATGGGAAGGGGTAATCTTGCTCTATACATTTTCGGCAATCCATAGAGACGTGGAATTACCAAAACAACGGGTCGGATACGTTTATACAAACTAAAGGAAATCAACGCATTATCCTTCAGGATACCAGTGAGCTGGATCTCAATCTGTTGTTTTGAAAAGATTGTTCGTTTTGATTTGACGAGTCTCTATACGAATTAATATGGCACTTAAGGCAATCAAAAATGAACTCACAATTGATCATGAAATCAGTAATAGAAATAAAGTTTCTGTTGGAGAAATCAAGCTAGGGATAAGATTGTGTTTAGCTTTCACGGTTCCCAAATTTCAAGACAAAGTATGTAAACAAACTGGAGTAGCCATGAGATCTTCAACATCCACTGTTATAGCAGACATATATATGCAGAGTTCGGAACAAATACCATTAGAAACATCCCGACCCACCCGCAAAGTATGTTGGCGATATGTCGATGACAAATTTACTGTGTCGATAACAAAACACGTCCAGAGATTTCTGTACAGGTTAACTAGATAGTAGATGCAATCCGATTCACTTATGAATTTAGAAAATGAAGAAGGAGAATTATCTATGTTGGATTGCAAAATCAAGAGGAGAAAAGATAGAAGCTTAAATACCAGTGTTCATAGGAGAACAATACATTAGAATAGATATTTGGACTTCACGTCATCTCATCCTATGTCTGTCAAGGTAGGCTTGATAAAATGTCCAAGTAATCGGGATAGAAGTTTGACTAATAAGCCATAAAACTTAAGTAAAGAAATGAAATAAATCAATGATTCCATTTCTCCAAAGCATACCACGTCGAGGTGAGCGGTGGTTCGACATGTGCAACACTTGTCCAAGCTACCTCAGTCTATGAAACTTCACAACCTCATAAATCTACTTACTCAGTACCCTTCGCTTGACCTCAACATTGCTCACACGGTGATACTACCAAATGCGAGGTACGTCTCAAAGACACCTATGACCAAAACCCTGTAACTGATTCACGTCTACTTTTAACGCTGGCCACAGCCGTATAACAGGACAGAACGAACTACAGATCAGTATACTTGTCCTTAGATAGATAGTCAGATATCTCGCCAGTCTGCACCGCAGGTGATGCAAGTTGGCAAATACCAAACGAGTATTGTTTATTCAAGATGATATATTGTCAGCAACCAGTACGTGTGGGCTGATGCAAGTTTGCAACTAAGTGAAGTGGTCGAACACATTCCACCCCTTTTGTCTAACCACTATCCAGACATTTCTGGTATGGTAAGACCCGAGGGAACAAGGGTTCCTCCAGTATAGCTCGTTGGGCCATTATGATACGCAGCAAGGAACGCGCGATATGTAAGCAATTCACAAATTGACAAAACATGAACCAGAAACTGATTCCAGATAGAAAGACTACACCCACCAACGAACATAACTCATTTTAAGACTACTTAAATACAGCTTATCATTCTGCAGATCATCAGCCATTAAACATAAGCATCTCAAACCACAAAAGCTGAGTATTTTCATACGCCTACACTATATTCAATAGCAGTGTTGAAAGTCAATGAACTGAGAAGCCAGTATGGCTAACGAAAAGTTAATGTTCACTGAGTGACTATGAACATGTTAACATGGATTTCGACACCGTACAACAAGTTACTGTTCGAACCAGGATTTTAGGGGGGATTCTACGAACATCAAAAGTGACCTAACAGAAGACTTATGCAAGGATATCTTACCTCCCCTACAACTCATTTTCTTAACATAGTATGGTGACCTTGAAAACAGCGAGCATCATCTAGCAAACTAGTCACAGCAACTAGTGATAAATTACTCAGTCCCAATTATACAACTGACACCTATGAGGTGCCACATAGTAAACGAAAAACACAAGGAATTGTGTTATTTACCCTCATCATGTTACACGCCAACATGCACATTAATAATAAACACAATATGTTGCGATGATACAAACTATTTATATCTGAAGGATGAAACGACCATCAAAATCCCCTCGCAACATACCTCCAGTTCAACAACAAGTATCACAAAAAGCATAAAAATTCACAAGAAAAAAAATTTTATTAAAATATAACACTATATACAGTTATTTATATGCGATCTACGCCTTCTACAATGTTAATGCTGTTGCCACGGACAACGGCCATATCAATCTTGATTTGCGTACCATCTTTGGTAACTTCATAAGCATCACTGAGAACAATATTCATGAAAGCGTCGAACCCACGCAGAATACCAACAACTTCTCGATTAGCATTCAATTTGACTGCGAAAATAAAAATGAATTATTGAAACCAACAAGGATAAAAAGTCCCACTGAAAATTCTACTTAAACACTAACCATAATATGAATACATCTTGGCAGACATCAAAAAGAACCACAAACTACTGCCACAATTATACATCAGCATATCCAGAGAATAATTAGCAAGCGAGATGAAACAATGAATCTCATGATTGTAAAAAAGTAGAGGTGAGAAGAACAGGAAACAAAAACATGAAACTACGATTAAATCGAGTCTACAAACAAACACATTTGCACCAGTGCGACCAAGTCTTAGCCATATCACAGTTTTTCTTATAAATCTCAATCGCAATGAACGGAGGCAAGGAAGTTCCTTAGATCAGTATAGCTCATTTCAATGTTGGTATTTTTAACCGAACTCAAGTAAAAATTCCATACTAGGACAGACGATGACTCAATATGCACGACAAATGTAACAACAGCTTCTTTAATAAACAGAATTATAGTTCTATTAACGCACTTTAAACAAAACTCCGACTAATCTTAATGTTCATAGCAGTGAATAAGATAATACCATTAAAGTAGCGGCAGCAAATACTTGAAACCTCGTCATTTTAGGCATACAGTAGAGTATTGCCAAGCAGTATACGATTCTTGACAAGCACTCGAATATCTCACCCACATCGTATATGGTTAACCAAGAGCTACTTAAACCTCTACGTGGGTTGGGATTTTATCGAGTAGTGAGCCAAAAGGGATGATGAAACTCCCAAAGTAAGTGATCAATCACTTTACTTCATACTGTCGAACGAGGCATTAACGTACATCAGTTTCGAAGCAATAGTTTACAGCTGGGATCCAAGAAGATAGCTCAAAAAAATCCTAGATCAGATTATATTTTGATAGCATCTCCACTTAAGATAATGTCTTCCATGCACCCTTTATTCACCGGAGAATCCCTAGTGAGACTGACTCTCATCAAATCAAACAAGACAGACCCCAACAAGTACATCTACGACTAAGATACATGACAGTTGACATCACAGACGAACACTACCCACCACATTGGTGGGAGACTTTCCATGATACGGTGGAAGATGGAGAATACCACCTCAGCCTAGTGTCACCAAAAAGTATGGTAAATCATTGATTTAAGTTGCATCTAACGCTGGAATAATCGCACCCAACTCTCAAAACTGCATGGTTGTGATGAATTAAACATAGATTCCATGATATACGAAACAGCTTCCAGACAGAGGAATAGACAATATCAACACGAGACACAGCATTAATGCATGACGGTCCAACTTGTTACATATCAAGGGACAATGCATCAACACGAAAAACAAATAAAGAAAGTAGTCGAAAGTGGTACGTCAACAAAAGAGAGCAAGGAGGAACGTGACAATACCGAAATTCATTTTGACGATTTGGATGAAGATATGTGGATAAATATGCACAAGCGAACTCGTTTTTGGGCCAAACTACCTAGTCTCCAACCATCAATTGCAGTAGTCATAAGGACCTTAACCGATAAATATATATGCACATACACGGTTCACATCAAAAGTAAAAGACTTCGTGAAATCATGTAATGTTTTAGTCTAGAAACACTCCTAACCTCTTTTTGGCCTGAAATGAACATACTTCAGCTAAGATTGTGCGACGGGACAGGCGGTGGTTACACATGCATGACACGTTTTTGTGACCTCAAGTCGATGAAGGTTCACAACTTTATCATCTTACTTACCTTTACTGCCTACAAATCTACGTGTGACTTCCAAATTACTCACGTGGTGACATCACATCTGACAGCCGTTGCCACGAAGTAAACAGTGGTCGAACGCCTGAAGCCTCCATATGTCCTCTTCCTGTAATGACCAGGATTCATAGCCATATGGTAGGATAGGAAAACTGCAATGCAGCACATAAAGCTTTTAATAGGAAATCGGATATCACCGTGGTGTCATAAATGGTGCACTTTGGCGAAAGCTAAGGGAGAAGAAGCTTCGTTGGCCAGACCCACCAGTTTTGATCTGAATTCGCAGTTGAGTGGAGTGGTTAACATGCTCAAATATTTTACTCCTTATTCCTGGACAAGACACCGACGTAGACCAGTTCTGCGACAGGAACTAGCAATTCGGCTGTGAGCAACGCATTCTAATCATCCCCAACTGGCACTTAAGATGTCCAGAAGACTATGCATCTTGTCAGCATCGTCACCCAACGTGACTGTCGTCTCAGTACTTAAAGTCTACTAAGGTGCTTTCCCTCACAGTCAGATGACGATATGGAGACAAAAATAAATAAGATTGGAAACAGTAGATATCCTCGACAGACACCACTCACTATAGACTTCAAATAACCCATGGGAGTTCGAGTAGAGAATCGTTGATATGTTGTGCTCACTCTGAACTTCTTTCACTACCACACGACTTTGGCTTTGTCGGTCCGAAGCTACAGGCAGACATTAAAACTACAGGACCAAGAAACTACGTTCGGCGAACTCATTCCTCTTTTATTTTAGGAGGGCTTAGGCTTCTTTCTTGACGACTACAACAATCAGTGGTTGAGATTAGCCAGTTAATATCATACCTGATTCCCAAACGCTAGCTAACAGTAGTTGACACGGCTAATTGTCAACAACTGTCATTAAAAACCGTTAATACAAACCCATTGAGGCCTATAATGAATTTAGACGAAGAATGTAAATATGGATATTTGCTGAGATAAGCCTGTACGCGTACAATCGATAACAAATTAACTTATAACTACGTGATGACATGAATGCTACCATCCTATATCTTCTGGTTCGCAATTAAAGTATATAGCCCAAGCTTGAGAATGAAACATGGTCGTAGAAACGAGGTTTCGTTCATTGGAGTACAACGCCGAATGGAAAGTAAAGGAGTACATGAACGTGCAATGGCTGGGGGTTTACTTCCTATGACGTAAGGAAGGGGAAATCAGCTGAATTAAAAACAAATTACATGTGTAAACAGGTGGAGATAAAGACTAGCGATCACACCCAACTAAGTGACTTTTAGAAACTAGAGAACCCTGAATATTTGCAAGTAGTGATGATAAAAGTTAACCTACTGCATCCTCGATCCCACCGCGAAATGGTTTAATATTGTGTGCGCTGGACTAACTAGGAGTTAATTACGTTTGTGGAAAAAATGACCATTCATAATTGTGGATGATACTGACGGAGAATTATTCATATGTAACCTATGTAAGGAACACGAATCCGCAAGAGTTGATATGTATTCATTCCACTGATTTCCTAGGGACATTTCTTCATATCGTCACTAACAAGAACGCTATGCTCAAGTGGGATACGGCGACATCTGCAACTGGAAAGTAGAATGTCTTGGTACCTACAGTATGGTAATTCCCTGAATGTTATCGCACTTCCTTCGAAGAAAATGTGCATTGTAGGACTTTCCCATGGAATTTATTCGCACCAATTGAACTCTCCTAAAGTACAAGCGTGGACAATCATAACCACGAAAATTATGAAAGCTTAATATATGCACTGAGAAAGGGACTTGTGGAAAGGGTTCCAAACAGTAGTGTGAGAAGGCTAATAACTACTTCCGAAATTGACATCGTTACTTCGTTTGCTTTTGCGCCCGCCAATCCACAGGTGCTGGTATCTAACTTAGACGCGATGACTTTAGCGTTTTCAAAAAAATTACTTGTCATCTCATATGGTCTACCAATGGAAAAACGAAATAATTCCCAATCTTCAATAACATGAAAAGATAGACTTACGTCTTAGTCGCTTGTCAAGGTACCTATAAAACAATTGTCGATTACTCAACACAAAATTAAGACTGACTTCTTAAGCTCAGGTTGATGTGCTTTGCTCATTGTCAGTCAGATACGTAGCAACCCTCAGTGTTATCAGGTGCGTGATGCAGAAATTCAAACTGCTCGAATTACCGCAATCTAATTTGTCAGACATTCAATGTACAATTAAAAGATCAAAATCTTCAAATATCTTTGCTGTAAAGTGATAAAATGAAAGTTCCCCGGGTCTGATTCTGGTTATTTTATTCAGGCCTTGCGTGTCAAGTTCATTCCTTACTTGCTTCCCAAAAATGTTCTAAAACAAACAAGAAATGTAGTCTATGTAGTCCGTCATCCGACATCAGCATCAGTGATGCGAGAGTAGGAAAAGTGATGGTTTCTTATTCCTCTGAGCTGGTTCTTGGGGCTTGGCCTCCACTGTCTCGTTCGTTTTGTGGACGGAAAGGGGATCTTTTCTGCTTTGCAGCTCTTAGCAGCTGTAAGGTAAATACTTTTCAGGTTCAGACTCGATTCCGGTTTATTGTCTGGGATACAAGGTTGTGAGCCTGTATTACTCCCTTTTTGATAGACGTATACGCTTTTCTTATCCTATTTGAACGGGTTAAATGATGATATGGACACCACTTCTCCTGAGAGTCCATTCCGTGTTGATTATTTGATATGAGAATCAGTACCCTACGGAAATTATATTCTTTTCTTGCCTTCGCATTCTCCTGATATGTTCTCTGGGATTTCTTGGCTTAATGTGATAGAAGAGAGAAGATGGACTAAGTCCAGAGACATTTCTTTTCGTGGGCCAGTAATTGTAATTTCTAGCTTGGAAAGGTTGGGGAGCTACGGGCTTCAGGAAGAATAAGTGCCTTTTGAGGCTCTTGTCTCTGGTGTCCCTGTTTTGGCTAATGACTATATTGGAATCCATAGAGGACTGCCAGTTTGTGGCATACACTCGTAAAACCCTGCACCAGTCCAGCCGGTGCCTTCTTGTTTTTGAGAGCATCTAGTGACACAGTTACCACCAACCATCGGAAAATAGGGTCCGCTGGCCATTATTTGTGTACAACAAGAGAGTTGTTGGGGTCTTTTACGCTTAGCCCAAAAACATTTTCTCTGTGGTTCAGGTTAGGAAGCGAAGTGGCTCTTTCGGAGTTCTAGGAACATGGGCGACATGATAAACTATAAATGCAATCCACCTGGCCTTTTTGTACTGAGCACTTAAGCGGTGTTGATATTAATATTTTTCAGCTCAACTAGCTTGAGAGTTGATAACCTATGATCTCGTTTCAATACAATATCCTTCTAAAGGTATTGTGACACAGAGACAATGTTTGTTGCCAGATTGCCTACATGTCCAAGCTGCAAATCTTTAGTAACGGTTCTGACTTTGGACCTAAATTTGATTAAGGATGCCATACTGCAGAAGGTCTATAATCTGCGGTACCCCTGTGTCCCTCTGAGCAGCATAGAGGGATACTAGGGTTCCTCAGGCGCAGCAAAAGCCTCCAATATTCTCATTCAGCAACGTTATGTCTTAGTTACTTGCGTCAATGGGTTGTAAATCATACCCAGTTTGTCCAGGTCTTCTCAGGGGGCAATGATATATAAGTAGGCTCATAATTCGCAGCTTATTTCTTAAGGTAACCACCACACCTCAGTGACTAAGCCTGTGAGGCTTGCCATTAATTAACCTCTTTTGGCTTCTACTGAAATTATACCATCTGCTAGATGTAAGTAATCCTTCACAATATCACGCTCCCGTTTACTCTCTTTCTTGTAGATCACACTTCGGTGTGGAACCAGCTTTCTTCGATCTTCACCTACATTTCATTGTGAGCTATGAAAATGAATTACTAACTTTTAGATATACCACAGTTGTGGTAGTGCACTACATTCTGCTACCCTAAATTCTTGTTTCTTCCAACTAAATAAGGTTCACATTCAAACGCCCCAGGTCACAATGTGAGACTGCCAGGAGCCGACGCAAAAAGCTGAACTCACCAACCAGCAAGTAAGGCTAAAATATTTCACGCGAAAGCCATTCTAAACCGTGATATGTGTTGCTAGATGGAAGCTGAGAATGCGACCGAAAAAGGAGTGTGTGAAAGGAAGTAGTATTAAATAGGCTTCTTTAAAAAATTGTCAGTGCCATAAGCTGCAGTCGCAAAGCATTGGTGACTATGTCCGAAGAATTTTCCAGTGTCAGCTAAAAGGTCGTGTCTAGTGTACCACTTAGCTCGAGATCATTTCAACCGTGCTCTCTGTCCGGCATTTTTCTGGAAGCTTGCCCTCAACTAACATTAGCGGGCACTTAAATCTGAGGTGGAAGATGTTTTTCGGGAGTTCACCAATACGTTGGGAGAAATCAGGAGAAGGCTAAGAACAGGTAACAAAAACTTGAGAAGAGCATATATTAACAAGGATTTTTAAGTCTGAAAACCAGCGGACCCAGTAACCACTCAGGTTATCCAACTAGAGAAACTGGCTGGTTTCACCAAAGGTATGGTGCGCTAGAGTATTGCAACAACTTCCACATACCTACAGTATGTTAGCACGATCCTATCATTAACTGATGAGACAGGGAGTGCAACAGTTTTGCCCGGCGACAACGTTGCAGACGGAGCATCAAAATTCAATATATGCCATGGAAACAGACATTCTTTTGCTTCGTTTGAGTCGATTAGGTCTATGAAGATGATTGTCGACCACAGCACTCAAAAACGTGATGACATGGAAGCACAGGAGATTAAGCCGGATCCTCAGCAGACGACGCAAATCAATCTCGAGACAATCAAGCTGGCCAAATATCATCCTGCACCCGACCTCGAAGTGGGTGAGAAACAAATTGTGAGGTGACGCTCACTTAGGCATCGTCGGAACTTAGAACAACACATCATGGCTGTAGCTGAATTCATGACTAACACAGGCCCGACTGGTAGTCTCGATCTCACGCAAAGCCTTCGAAAGAGAACAGCATGGTCCTTTTGCAAAGCACGTGCCGAAATAAGAGTGAATCGCAGTATGCCCATCTTAGCAGCCAGACTTCCACGTGTCCCTAGCCCAACAAATGAGTAAAAGCCCAGATTTCTAAAGTTAAATTTCTCTAAATCAGATGATGCGGAGGATGCATTGTTGGCATCCTACGTGCAAAAGCTGAGTAGATGTGGGAATGCTCTCCGATATCATAAACTGCAAAAGAACTGCCATGAAAACTTCTGAAGCGATGGTTTTAAAACCTGATTTAGGGCAAAGAATCTGGCAATGCAAGGGATACTCGAAAACTCAGGTACTGAGGACATCACAGGGAATGCTGTAAGTGGAGATTTCCAAAGACCACAATCTTACAAAAGTAGTGCCAAGGAAATTTACGTGGATGGCAAAGGAGGATGACCACCCTGTACCAAGTGTGATCAAAGTGACGAATATAGTCCTTTAGGTTACTTTCTTTCCCGTAGAGGACCAAATCCACACCCATGAATCTGACTGCCTTGAAAAATCTTTCAACCGCTCCGCAGAACTGTCCGAGACGGCCAAATGATTACTACCAGTTGCTAGATAATGAATACATAAATTAATAAATATTTTATTCTCACATTATGGATTTAAGATGAGAGAACCCAGTTCACATGCATCATCACATGAATATATGTTGAAAAATCTGCAAGACTTTAAGAGTTTTGAACGATACAGAAAGAAGGACGATAAACCATATTAAAACATGGAAACATTCTGCTAGTTATGAAATGAACAAAAGGTATCACTTTCCAGCATATACAGAGTGTTAAAGTTGAAATCGTTTTCGGTTATCTTTCTTCACCATAACAGGCCATCCGCTGTCTCTCAGTGCGGTAACCCGATGTTGGAAGCTATCAGCTGCTTTTTTGAGCTCAGGCAAACACTCTGATTCTTGCAGTTTTTAATCCACCTGAGGCCGGATTTCTAGATCACACGTTCAATATAAGTGACTAACCCATTGCAGCTAGTTTCTTCAGCGTTGTTGAAAAACGGGGACTGAAAGAAAGCGTGATGTTAAAAGATAAGAAATATGTACACAAAGGCACTAAGAGTCAGCAGGTCTCAACATTAAGCCATAGTTACAAAGGTGTTTGTTTCTAACCCAAGAAGTCTGTTCATCTGTGTTGCATCTTTCTCACGGGCTGAGGCGAACCAATGAATATAGCTCATTGGCCTAAGAAGCGGCTATGTTGAAACGATGTAACTCTTAGCCGACCAGTATTTACTTGCTATCTTTATCTCTGGTTACTTTCTGAAGAGTATGTGGGTATCGTATTGAACAACTGGGACTTCTGGCCGTTGACCTAAGCGCTGGGTAAGCTGAGTGCAAGCCACTACTCCTCTTCATAACTGGATAAAATATATGCATCAGTTCTAGGGGAAAGAGTACTACTCTTATCCGAATTTCTGAATAAGCTATTTAATTACCATTATTATTATTCGTCCCTTGGGTTCCTAGTGGAACATAGAGATTCGGTAGCACGTCTCCAGCGCACCCTGTTCTCTGAAAACTTTGAACCTGGCTCAGTGGCTGCCCACAAGCTCTCATTTCTTCCTCCCACCATCTCCTCCATGTCACCCTCGCCTCAAACGCCCAACTCGTCGCTCCCCATCTGCGTTCCAGTCGACGACCTAGCCTGTCTCTTGATGCCCCCAGTCAGCCTTCTGGGTGTATGCCCAGTCCAATCTACCTTCCCTTCCTTCTGCATATTTGCTTGGAGACAGGTTCCTGCTTCTTTGGTTCGTTGCTAGCCAGCCAGAGTTCCTTGCTTATTCTTTCTGGTCATCTGCCCTTCAGTACCAAGCCAGCGTAGGCAGTTATTGATGAATGTCTGTAGTTTATTGGAAATCCCTTTCGTAACGCACCAAGTCTCTGAGCCATACAGAAGCACTGACTTGACGTTGGTGTTGAAAATCCGCGTCTTGTTCTTTGTGCTGAGTGCAGAAGATCTACACACTGGTTTCAGGTTAATGAACGCCTATCTTGCTGTCTTTCCGATCGTGACTGGCTTTGACGTCTTCGTCTGTACCTGAATCGCTTATAGTGGAAACAGTGCCGCCTAGATAGGTGGAGGAGGCTATTTCCTTTAAGTTCCTCACATAGATGGCGACTGAAGTCTGTTGTTGCTGTTGGTTGAG